TTGTGGTCCTGTTAGCAATATGGTCCTGTTAGCATTGTGGTCCTGTTAGCAATATGGTCCTGTTAGCAGAGCGGGCCTGTTAGCAATATGGTCCTGTTAGCAGCATGGTCCTGTTAATTGCATGGTGCTGTTAGCAGAGCGGTCCTGTTAGCAATATGGTCCTGTTAGCAGAGCAGTCCTGATAGCAATATGGTCCTGTTAGCAGCATGGTCCTGTTAGCAATATGGTCCTGTTAGCAGAGCGGTCCTGTTAGCAATATGGTCCTGTTAGCAGCATAGTCCTGTTCGCAGCGTGGTCCTGTTAACAGCATGGTCCTGTTAGTAACATAGTCCTGTTCGCAGCGTGGTTCTGTTAGCAGTGAGGTTTGTCTACAAACGATCACCTTTAAGATGGCTGCCGCAGCCACACAGATTGGCTGTAAGTCAGTCAGTTTTACAGATATTGATCTAAGGTTGGGTGTGGTAGTAGATGAGCATCATCCCCAACACACACATTAAGCAGCATGTTTGCTGAAAATAAGAACAAATTGGTGTTGGTCTGAACCGTGTCTGTGCAGTAGCTGAGAGTCGTCCACAACGTGTCCTCTGAGCTCTGATGGATCACATTTCGACGTGTCAAAGATTTTTAAGGTTACACAAAAACGGCCACAACTCTCTGAAGGAAAAATGGTTTTGGTTTAAAACTCTGCGGGTGATGAGGAACCCTCGGCCTTTTGATTATTTATTCCTGGGTTTGTTGTAACAACGTCTAACCCAGAACCTCTCGGACTCGAACCCTAAAGAGTTTTTTTTTTTTAATCCGCTCGCCGATCTTGTGTGAGCGTTCGAGCACTCGTCCCTTCTTGAGGAGAAAAACACGGTTTGAGGAATTTAAAACCTGTAAAAACAGCGAAAAGAACCGGAAAGCGTCCGCTCCGGGTTATTCAGATGCTCTTACAAATCTTCCCAGTCACTGTATAGATGAATGCCTTCAGGGCCCGCCGGGGCCCGGTACCAGCAGCCAGCCGGAGCCCTTATCTTAAATCCGAGCAAAGTACCAATAATCTTTCTGAAAGACCTTTATGGCTTTTAATGTATCCCAAATTAGAACATTTTACACCCTTGGTTCCTGAAATGTGGCGATAAAAAGCCTTTAGAGTTTAATTTTCCTGCCTGCTCGCTCCGACCTGCCTAATCCCAGCATGCATTAGGAGATATTTTAGTTTCAGTCTTTCTAATAAACTTTATCCCACTTAATTATAATTGAAACATTTTTTTTCTAAGCAGTTTTTTTCTTCCAAGTGGCACAGCGGTAACTCGTTTCTTCATTACCTTCAGACCTTCAGCCCTCCTCATTGGGCTCTAAATATTACAGAGAATTACACAAATATTTCTTGAAATCATTCCCGGTTGTTTATCGAAGTTCACCTCCGTCGGAACAATAACGGCTTCTCCGGAGTGAGGGGGCGGTGGGATTTCAGTCCTTTGTTTCCGGAGCTTCTTGGGACCGGAGTTACCGGGATTATTCTGCTCCACGTCTTCTCTGGGGTTTCCACTCTTCGTCCCGGTCCTCCTCGTCCTCTTCACTTCTCTGACTCGTTGGTCCAAACAGAAAAACTGATGCACTCTGCTGACAGAAAATTAATAATAATTATTATTATCACAACAATTTGAAGAAGAAGCAGTAAGAGTTTAATTTGTCCACGTTTCTAGATTTTTCATCAACTGTACGTTCTTCCAAGTCTCGACGTCATAAAAGTTCTTTAGACGGCGTTTCTTAGAAGAGGAACGAAGAAAAGACGGTTGGTTCTGGTCCATTTGAGGTGGACAAAGCAGGGACTTTTAAGACGATATAAAAAAAAATCTAGTTCAAAACGCAGGAATCAGGTGCAATACGTTTTAGTTTGGGTGAATTCTGGCGACAGGCAGGGGAAGTACCGTGTGTACACGAACGATACTGAGATATGTGACTCATCGCGTCCAACCGAGGAGCGAGTCGTCTTTGGTCAAACATCTCGGTCCCTCGTTGAGAAGTGACGAGGGGACTTGGAAATGCCCTCCGTCTGTCAGTCCGTCTCGTGAGCTGGATAACGTGAACAATAAGCAACGTTGCTACATCCAGGCGTACGAACGGTCTCGATCAAAAACTGGGATCGACACGTCAAAATCCAACATGGACACCACCATACGACCACGCCATCCACTAGAGGAAAGTATAGTTTCCTCAAATGATTGGGTTGGATGAAGATTAATCTATGGGGGTCAAGGCCATCATTGGCACCCTCTGGCTCCTCCTTTGCACTTGGTGGAGGATAAAACTGCTCCCTCCGCTCTCCAGGATCCGTCACTCTGCACCTCCCTCTGTTCTCCACAGTGCACCTCATCCCCACTTGCACCAAAAACATGTAGGTTTACTTCATCCTCTGTTCAGTTCCAGTCCAGAAAAACACTCACCTCAAAAACTACAAACGTTCACTTTTCAAACCTCTCAGCGACGGGAGACATCGGCGCACCACTTGCAACACCTGCTACCTACTAATCCTAATCTGAGCGGTTCCAGAGATATGTCTCCATTGGTCTCGCTAATCGTGATGACTTCTGGAAAATGGGTCTGAAGCCTCCTCTGTGTTGTCTAACGAGGGTTTCTTGACGTCGTTTGGAGGAGAAAACCTGAAACTAGGTCTGGATTTTAGGATTTCTCAGCTGGTGCTGGAAGTGTCTTCACCAGCGTTCAGAGCAAGTAGCAAACATCACGTCTTTTCTGCTCATGGTCAGTTAGTCTGAAGAGTCGTTTTGGTGAGAAGGTTCTCCACCGATCTCAGGCAGCAGTCGGGACGTGGTGAGTGAAACTGAACTCAGCGTTCCCAAAAATCCAAACAATCTCAAATAATCCATGATCTCACCAGGAGGCTCGTTGCTTTGCTTCCATGCAGAAACACGGAGTGGAGCTTTTTCTCTTAATTATCAAGTCATCCTTTAAAAGCTGTTTCGTATTTCTTCAGGTTATCTTTGATTTTAACATTTGTTTGTTGGTCCAAAATGTTTGGGTCTGACAAAAAAATCAACAACATAGTTTGTTAGTGGGCGGCACGGTGGCTCAGTTGATAGAGCTGTTGCCTCTCAGCGATAAGGTCGCCAGTTCAAATCCCAGCCCGGGGCTTTTCTGGGTGGAGTTTGCATGTTCTCTCCGTGCTGCGTGGATTTTCCCCAGGTACTCCGGTTTCTACCCACAGACCAAAAACATACATGTTAGACTGATTGGTCTAAACTAAACTAAATTGTCCCTAGGTGTCTCTGGGATGGACTGGAGACCTGTCCAGGTGTCCCCCGCCTCTCGCGCAGTGACTGCTGGATATGGGCACCACTGACCTCCGTGACCTGAAAAGGAAGAAGCGGCTGAAGTTATAAATACTTTGTCCCCTTTCATGCACGGTTTAATTATCCATAAATTTGATCTGTTTAGCCCCAAGCTGATCGAAACGTTCTCACAGGATCGACCAACGACTAGTTCTTCTGTAACGTTGTCGTTTTAACGATCTGAAATGTTTTTCAAGCACAGAGTTGAACCGTTTTATTAGTTGAACTTTCAGGTTCGAGCTTCGTAAATCGCTCGTCGTTTGCAGCCATGCTGGTCTGGTAGCTAAACGTTTGCAGCCATGCT